ATGAGGGGAATGCAAATCAAAACCACAATCAGATACCACCTCACACCTGTTAGAATGGCTTTTATCAAAAAGATAAAACATATGTGTTATTGAGGACATGAAGAAAAGGAAACTCTTGAACACTGTTGGTGGGAATGTAGATTGGTACAGCCACTACGAAAAACAGTATGGAGGTTCCTCAAGACATTAAAAAGAACTATCATTTGTTCCAGCAATTCCACTCTGGTATTTATCTGAAGAAAACAAAACCGTTACTTTGCAGAGATATATTCACCCCTATGTTCATTGCAGCATTTTCACCATAGCCAAGATATCAGAGCAACCTAAATGTCTATTGATAGAAACACAGATAAAGAAGATGTGGTATATACATACAATGGAATATTACTCAGCCATAAGAAAGAATGTAATCTTGCCATTTGTGACAATATGGATGGACCTAGAGGCTATCACGCCAAGTGAAATAAATGAGACAGAGAAGGACAAATAGTACATGATTTCACTTATACATGGAATCTAAAAAACAAAACAAATGAACAAACAAAACTAAGCAGAAACAGACTCATAGATACACAGAACAAACTGGTGGTTGCCAGAGGGGAGGGCAGTGAGGGTGGGGTGGGGAAAATAGTGAAGGGAAATAAGGGGTCAAACTTCCAGTTCTAAGATAAATAAGTCATGGGGATGTAATGTGCAGCATAGGGAATAGAGTCAATAATATTCTAATAACTTTGTATGGTGACAGATGGTACTAGACTTATCATGGTGATCATTTTGTAATGTATATAAATATCAAATCACTATGATATACATCTGAAACTAATAGGATGTGTGTCAATTATTCTTCAATTAAAAAAACAAAATGAAGTTGTATTTCATATGGGCTTAATGGTAACGAGATAATAGAAGAACCAGTAAACTTGAAACTAGATCAATATATATTTACCCTATATGAACAACAGAGAGCAAATAACAATGCAGAGGAAGCAGAACCACAAGGATATTGGGACAATACTAAAAAGTCTACCATTTTTAAAATTGGAGTATCAAAAGGAAAAAAGAAAATCGGGCAAAAAAAAATTGAGGAAGCAATGGCCAAAAATATCCTGAATTTGGTGAAAGTTCTAAGTTTATAAAGTCAAGAAGCTCAATAAACCCCAATCGGGATAAAGAAAGACATATAATAATCAAGTTGCTAAAAACCAAAGAGAAACAGAAAAGCTTGAAAGCAGACAGAGAAAAAATGACACATTCCATACAAGTTAGCACCAATTTGAAATATTGCTGACTTCTCATAAGAAACAATGGAAATCAGAAGAAAATGGATAATTTTTAGAGTGGTGAAAGACTGTCAACCTAGAATTCTATATTCACTGAAAATGTCCTTAAAGAATTAAGATGAAATCAAGACACTTCAGATTAAAGAAAACTAAGAGAATCTACTGCCAACAGACCTTCAGTGAAAGGTGAAGAGAAATGATATCAGGTAGGAATGAAGAACACTGGAAATAGTAAATATGTGAGTAAATATATAAAAGACTTTTTTTCTTATTCCTTTAAAATGCATATGACTGTTTAGAGAAAAATTACAAAATTTTATTGTGGGATTTATAACATATGTAAATATAATACGTGTGAAAACTATAATGTAAAGGACTGGAGAGGTGGCAAATGATCCTAGACAACTGAAGGCCCCAATGTTTTACAAGAATTGCTATATTTACTCCAAGTAAACTATGAAAATTTAAGGATGCGTAGTCTAATTCCCAGAGCAATCACGACAGCTAGAAAGCCTACAGACAAAATGAGATTATAAAATAGGTTTATTTACTCAAAAGATGGTGGGGAAGGAAGAACAGAGGACCAAAAGTGAGATGGTACAAACACAAAACAAATAATAAAATAGCAGACTTAATCCAACGATATCAAGTATGATATTAAATGTAAATGGGCTAAACCTTCCAAATAAACAAGGAATGGGGGATAGAATTTTCATGTAATAGTAATGGGAAATCAAAGAGATTTTAGGGTGGCGACTTTGGTTCTGATTTCAAAGGTTGTTGAATTCTGAACCAGATTGTGTAGGCTCTCAGGTTTCTCAGTTTGGGTGTCCTTTCCTTACAGTAGGGATATATAATCTCTATAAAATACCCTTAAATTCAGGTTTGGAGAAGCAAAGGTTGGGATCTGAGTTCTTCCTCTCCTAGAGGGCTTTAGGATTCTTGTGCAAGTTTCTTCCTAGTATCCAGCATTGGTTATAATAAGATTTAATTTGCCTATTTGACTTGCATATAAATACTTCAGAGGGTCACTCAAGTGATCCTTTATTTTTCAGAAAAGATCAGCTTTTCTAGATGAAGAAGAAAATAGTACTATGACTGTTCTAATTTCCTTGATAATTGCCTTTCTTCCAGGAAGACCGAAGACTCTGTCTTGTTCCTTTTTGTCTCCCCAGCAAATTAACCCAGTGCTTGCCACATAGCAGGTGCTCAAAAAGTAAATAATACAACATGACTCCTAGTCCAGAAGTAATTTACAACTGCCTGTTGGGTACATTTACCTGTATACTGTTTGTTAACTTTTAAAATTAATTTTATTGATATATAAATTTTATATAATAAAAGTTTCCCGTTTTAACTGCACAGTTTGATGAGTTTGATGAATGTATATACTCATGTAACCACCACTGCAATCAAGATATAGAATACTTCTATTTCTATTATCCTAAAAAGTTCCTTCATGCCTTTTGCCATTAGTCTTACCCCCAGCATCTCCTCCCAAACCTTGGCTGCAGGTTCCCACTGATGTAGGTTGTGTTACTTTATATTAGCTTACATTTCCTGGAATTTCCTAGAAATGGAATCACACAGAATGTACTCTTTCGTGTCTGGTTTCTTTTGCTCATTATAATGTTTCTGAGATTCACCCACATTGTTACACGTATTAGTAGTTTGTTCCTTTTTATTGTGTTATTTCATTGTTTCGATATAGCACACTTAGTTGATTCATTCATCTGTTGATGACTATCTGGATTGTTTCCAGGTTTTGGCTATTATTAACAAAATTGCTGCAACATTTGTACATTAGCCTTTGTATGAGCATACGTTTTCATTTTGTGTGTGTGTAAATACTAGAGGTAGAATGGCTGCATTATTAGGGTAGGTATATGCTTATAAGAAACTTCCAAATTGTTTTCCAAAGTGGTTTTAACATTTTACACTCCCACCCACTTTCCACTTCCAGTTGCTCCATATCTTCACTAACACTTGAGACTGTCTGTCTTTTTATCTTTAGTCCTTCTAGTGGAGATGTGGTGGTGTGTCACTTTAAAAGGCACATGCTCAGACCTCTGAATCCCCATTCTACCTCTATCTTACCACTTTAAAGTGGACTTACACTTTAAAAAAATTAATGACAACATTATGCTAAGAAAATTCAAGCTAGACTAACAACAACAACAACATTAATTGGGCATTTATCATTCTCCTTACCCTAAAGTGCAAGCTTCACAAGAGCAAGACTTACCTGTCTGGTTCTTTGTATCTTGCACAATGCCCGGTGCATAGCATGTACATTTATTAGTTATTGTTGTATAATAAATTATTCCAAATCTTAGCAGTTTAACAACAAAAAACCATTGTTTCACAGTTTCTGAGGATTATGAATCCAGGAGCAGCACTTAGTCGGGTGGTCCTGGGTCAGGGTCTATCATGAGGTTGCAATTAAGCTATTGTCTAGTGCTGCAGTCATGGAAGGCTTGACTGGGGCTGGAGGATTGGCTTCCAAGATTATTCACTCACTTGGTATCGGCATGAGGTCTCATTTTCCAGCTGGCTGTTGTCAGCAGTCCTCAATTCCTTGCCATGTGAACCTCCCCATTGGGCTGCTCAACACAGCAGCTGGTTTCCCCAAAGTAAACCAAGGTGATTGGGCTCTCTTGGAGTGGTCCAAGAGAGACAAAGATAGAAGCCGATTACACAGACCACCCAGGAGACAGGAATGGTTGGGGGCCATTCTGAAGGCTGGCTGATACAATGCATAGTGAATATTTATTGATTGAACTGATGTGTACCTGACACTCTACTGAGCACTTGGTTTACGTTGTCTCATTCAATCCTGACAACAACCTATGGACCATTGTCCTCATTTGAGAGATGATAAAACTGAGGCTTCTAAAAGTGAAGTAACCTGTCTAATTTTACAAAGCTATTAGGTGGCAGAGCCAGAGTTGAAGGCCAGACCTCTGTAGCACCAAAGGCTATGAAAAATGGTTCACAGTGAAAACGAATGAACTGTACTATCCCCCAAAGAAATTGATTTAGATGGTCTTTTAAATTTTGTTGATATTGAGTCAAACTCACTTGTACATGGGTAAGGAACTAGAAATTATATCAACAGGGAAACCCTAAAACTCTTCAGGATGAAGAATTGGTTCCCCATTCTCCAATTGATAAGGTGGTGTTTTCATTTTTTCTCTCTTACCAGATTAATGTTTTAAATTCTTGGCGGATCCTCGGAAACAAGGAAGGTCAAGAATTCTGCCACTGACTTTCTACAGAGTCAGCACAAGTTTGATGACCATTTAGTGCGCATATGGCGCTGTGGTAGTTACAAGGATCTACAGAGCAAGCGAGACAGTACCTGATGCCCAAGAGGTCACAATCTCCTTGGGATTGGTGATACAAAAACAATCATAACACGGGCAAGCGTAAGTGCCATGGAGAGGCACACAGGGAATGCTTACTGAGGCTTGAATTCTTAAAAAGACCAGCCACATCTTTAAAACACATTTAGTGTTTCACTAAAATAATCTAGCGTGGAGGAAGACTGGCGCAGATGTTAGCTCAGGGAGACTCTTCCTCATACACACACACACAAAATAATAATCTAGTGTGATAATCTCTGGAAGTCAATCGAAGATTAAGATGAGGGAGCCAGGCCTTTATTTTCATTTTTTTAAAAAGCAGTTGGAAAGCTTGCAAAGAGAGGGACTTGCTTACCATTCTAGACTCAATCTCTCAGTCAGGAACCAGTTTTCCATTAAAAGTGGCACAAAATGGGTTTCTGGAATGCAAGAATGAAGGAAGAGCGGCTAAGGTTCAAAGTTCAGGTAGCCTTCTGTGAGAATGTAGAAATCAAGCCAGGCAGGCCAAATAAAAGAGAGGGCGGAGGGGGCAGAGCGACGGAGTTTACAGATTGACGGGAATTAGAGAGTTAAGGTGACAATGCTGGGGTAGAAACCAAACGGACAGGGCAGTGTGGTACTGAGACCCACCCTCACCGGGAAGAAAGGAGCCCCTCCAGTGGAGTTGAAATGATGAAGCACCCCACTCCCCACTCATCCGGGAAACTGTCTTGTGCACAGTTGAAACTCAGAGGAAAGTCTGCGGAGCCACATACGCCTTGCATAAACTAGTTAAAGATCAAAATTTGCCTTGGCCACTGAGCATGCTCAGATTTCAGCCTTCTGCAGAAATGTGGGTTCCGTGGCTCCAGATTTTAGCTTTGGCAGCTCGGGGGCAGGAGAGGGAATGAGAAAGCCCGAGTGTTGTCGTGGCAGTGGCCACAGGTGGAATCTGATGTTTGAGTACACTTGAAGGAAAAGGTGTGAGGACTAGGCGGCGGCCGGATGGGGCGTCAGAATAGACCTCGAAAAAACACTCCCCCAATGTGACTGGCTTTGACTTGGTCGGCAAACCTCCGTGAAGGAGCCAGTTTGGTTATTCCGAAATAGGAAGTCTGATACAAACAGTTCCAGGAGAAGAGGGGCAGTTCCGTTCCGGCCCTAGTCCGTGGATATGAATCAGGGTCGAAGGAATGGTCGTTATCACCCAATAGCAAGCCTCCTGGGTCCTCTCCAGCTACTCCTTCTTAGGCTGCAACCTACCCTTTGTAAGAGACTGGGTGTTGCTGCAGAAACGCGAGCCAGATGAAGGATGCTCACCTGGCAATCCCCGCGCGACCTGCCCCACCTCTCCCGCTCCTCCCGCCTCCCCAGCCCAGACTAGTCGCCCGGGGCCAACATCTGGCCAGGCTGAAACAGGCTCACAAACTCACCTTTGCCAGCTCGTTTCTGCGTTTGGGTTCCCGAGAGGGTGCATCCACATCTAGGAGAATCTCGCAGACTCTCTGACTCCTAGGCTTTTGGTGGCATGGGGAGAGGGATTTCCTATTACCACGCACACACACAATGAATGATTCCTGAAGATGTGCTCCAGGTCACACAGCCTGCAGGCGGTGCCCGCGGGCCGGGGGGTCACGGCCGGACTGGGCGCCGCGGGTGCTGGGGGCGGCGCGCCTACGGCTCGGGCTGCTGTGCAGCGAGCGCGCAAGTGGCCGAGGAAGCAGCGGCCAGGGCGGTGCAGACACCTCCAAACCCCGCCGAACGCCCTGGCTCGAGGCGCCCACGGCGCGCGAGGTACGCTTCGGGGCGGTCCTGCCTGACCCCGGAAGAGAAAGTCGTTTTGGGGAAGGGGAGCGAAGGGAGGAGAGCGAGTTAAGTACAACTAAAAATCAAAGTTGTTTTGCCCTGCTCAGTCCGCCTCTCCCCCGCCTCCTTTTTGGCCCAGACTCCTTCCGAGGCGGGCTTCCTCCGAGGGCCCGACGCCCCCTCTGTCCCAGGCTGAGTTGGGGTACAGGAGCGCCGGGCCCCAGGTTCCCGGCCCCTCTGCGGATCCAGGTCTCCGGGAAAACCCGGAGCGGAGCATCCCCCGGGCCTGGAAACGCCCTCGGCGCGCGCCCACTGGCGCGCATGCTCAGTCGCGCGGCGGCCGCGAGTAGGAAGCTCCGCGCGGCAGTAGCGGCGGCGGCGGCGGCGGCGCGGCTGGAGGGCGCGCTGGGACGCGGCTGGGTTCCCGCCCGAGGTTCCGGGGGAGCGTTTCGGAGCGCGAAGCCGGCGCGAGGAGCGAGCGAGCACCGGAGCCCACGAGCGCGGAGCGGGCAGCGGGCGGAGCGGAGCCGCGGGGCGGAGCGGGCTCGGAGCCCGGGTCTCCGCGGCTCGGACCGGGCGGCGGGGGCGGCGATGTTCCACTGCATCCCCCTGTGGCGGTGCAACCGTCATGTGGAGAGTATCGACAAGCGCCACTGCTCGCTGGTCTACGTCCCCGAGGAGATCTACCGCTACGCCCGCAGCCTGGAGGAGCTACTGCTGGACGCCAACCAGCTCCGCGAGCTGCCCGAGGTGAGCGTCCGGCCTCACCTGCGCGCCGGCCGGCCCTCGCCCCCTCCTCTCCTCTCCTCCAACCTCCAACTCTCCCCTCGTCCTCTCTTCCACCTCCAGACTTTGGCCCGTGGGTCCCGCGGGAACCACCTCTACTTGTATTCACCTGCTTCTTTCTCCCCTTCACTCCCCCAGACCCCACTCCCGCAGTAAAAGTTCCTTTTCCTTTTGTACAAAGCGACTTAGTTTTATCTAAGTGGTCACTAGAGCTCGTGCGACTGGGGAAACGTTCTGGGCTGATAAGTAGTTTAGATACCCGTGTAGGTACCAACACTTAAGTGCCGGGGCAGCTGGGGAGCCGGGTGGCTGGGTTGTTCCCAGCTGGAAGGACCCAGCGCGGCATCCCGCTCCTGGGGCCGACCCCTCGCCGGGGCCCTCTCCGCTTTGGCCAGAGCAGGTCCGGGAGGAGGTGGGCAGCTCGCAGGTGGGCAACCTCACTGCCTGGGCATCTTCCGAGGAATTTGCTCCGGGCCTTATCGCGGGTGAGCCTTGCTCGGAAGAGCTGGAGCTCGGCCGGCCTGCCTTGGCTCCCGGACCGGCCGCGAGGTGGAGAGGGGCCAGGAGGTGAACTGTGCCCCGGGAGCCGTGGGCAGGTGCCCAGGTGTCCGCCCCCGCCCCCTGCCTGCGTGGACCTGTTGCGTGGAGGGAGCCGCGGGGAACGTCGGCAGAGGCTCTTCGGGGGGCGGCCAGCCTTGCAGCCCCCTCTCCCGGGGCGGCCGCGTTCAGCCTGCCGACTTCTGTCCCTGCAGTGATGCGCTGCCTCTTGCGAACTGTTTACGTAAATTCATCGTGCTGCGGGGACACATGCTGATTGTGCTTTAACCGGAGGGTCGGGGACTCGAACTCTTAACGTGCGAGCCGGCCTCGGGAACCTGGCCTGAGTAAACCCTTCAGGAGGAAGGGCTCCCCAGTCCAGGGGCGTGGAGGAAGTCTCTGTGCGGTAATCTACAGGTGTGCAGGAAGTAGGGAGCCAGCTGGGAGCGAGTGGGAGAGGACCTACAGGCCTGAGCATCGGAGCTCAGATAGCTTGCCTGGCCTTTCAGTGAACACAAAGCCAAGAGCTTGTCCCAGAAACACTGGTCAAATGTTCTGGCTTGTTAGAATGACCTGAGCCATTCTTCAGCGCTGACAGAGTGTCTTCAGAAGCAGAACGGTGTGTTTTTCTCAGCATTTCGAGTGTTGTTATTCTTCTTGGATTTACTTTCCCTGCTTCGTGTGGAATTGATTGGATGGTTTGCTCTCTGTAATCAGGGAGATTAACCTCACCGGGATCTTTGCAAAGCTCCCCAGGCTTTATTTAGCTTAGAATCAGAAAAGCCATCCAGTTCCCTCAGGCATTTATTATTTTACAGGCATTTTCAAACATGGTTTTGTCTGGCTTTCAGCTTCCTTAAATTTGACTTAAAAGTCATAAGCTTATTTACTGCCTTAGGTTGGAATAAGTTTTAGGTGTTGCTACCGCGAGAAATATAAAATATGTAATTTAATGCTTTTCAAAGGCTTCAGAATGAAGTTATTAAACATTGAGTGAAAAGCTATTAAACTAGAAATGTTTCAGTGCTCTTTGTGGTGTTTTTGTTTGTCTGTTTTCTTTTGTAGAACTGGAAGATTGCTTTTGCTCTGGCTTTTCATTCCCTTCTGCAGAGTTTGTGGGTTTTCCTGTAATGTGGGGGAATTCAGTTTGGTATGGGAAATTATGGGTTTTAGATGTGTCAGGTATTTCTACTGATTCTAGATGGAAACTTCTCAGAAGCTCAAAATAGTGTGATAGCACTCTCTAAAAGCGGTAGGTAAACAAGCTTTTCAAAGGCTGGAGGTGGTCTTGCTTATGGGTAATTATTGCTCTTACAGCTCTTAAATTAGTTTTATAGATTTTAGGTTGTGTAAAGTCTATTTCTGCCTGATTTATGGTGCCTGGGTGTGTATTAGCCAGACATGAACCACCACCTCGAAGGCACAGATATTTCATTCACAGTTAAAGTCTGTCCTTGGCACTCCGTGGTTTCACCTCTGAGATCTGTGGAACTCATTAGCACGCTCACGGCTGTCCCTGCCACCTCCCCAACCCTGTCTCCTTACCTACCACATCCCCAGTGGGTCTCTTTTGCTGACAAACCTCCGAAGCCCTTATGGGGGTGGCCATACTGGCTGGCTGTCCTTTTTCTGTCATTTATTTGGAAACAGCCAAAGGGTAAGCCGGCACCTCCCACTCCTCCAGCAGATGGATGCATGCTCTGTGCAGGCTTCAGGCTAGTGAAAAGCATCTCCTCTCCACTCCAGTAAGGTCTGCAACCTCTGATTTGCTCCAACCCGCTCATTTTACAAATTGTGGCTCAGAATTGAAGTGACTTTTTAGGGCTGTCCTACTGGTTAGAGGCAGAGTTGCCGGTCACCCCACTGTTCACGTGTCCACCAACTTTAACAGCTTTGGGCACCCAGCAGGAGACTGGCCTTTTGGGCTTTTCACACCCATCAAAACCTGAGTTATTTAGCTGCTCCTGTTTTGCTCATGCCATTCAAACTTGGCCTCCGTCAAACCTTTACTGACCGTTCATTATTTGCTAGTTGTTGGGATGTAGGGATTAAAGGGGCTCTGATTCCTAGGAGCTGTTCACGGCTTTGCAGGGAGACAGGTGACTGTAATACCGATGTGAGTGTGGGTGGAGTGGGCACCACAGCTATCAGACTTGCTGGTTACTTACCTAATCTAACCTTTTCCTGAACCTGCACCCCCATCCTCCACAGTGACTCCGCCTTGTGGTAGCCTCTCCACGCTGCGCTTGTGCAGGAAACGCTCCGGCCGCTCACCTTTAGCCTGGCCCAGGTGGGTGAAAGTCTCATCGCCCCTTTTCCATCCATCTACCCCTCCCACCTCCCCCCAGCTCCATCCCTTTGGGATGTGTATTAAAGACAGTCAAACTTCAATCTCCTAGAGATGCTGGTGTGTGTGCGCTCACCCTTGTGTGTGCAGAGCCTGGCACCCAGTAAATCCTGCTCCACACACAGCCATTTATCTGTTGAATGATTGTTGCCGAGTCAGATACAAATCTTCCTCCTCTGCTTCTTTCTCTTACGTAAGCATGTCACTGCTCCGGCATCTATCCTTTTCTAAGTAATCAGAGAATATTCAAGTTGGAAATGATTTTTCAGGGCTCTGTAGCTGGTTAGATGCAGAGTCGCTGGTTGCTTCAGGTTAGAAGTGACTTCAGAAGTGAAGATCATCTACGTGGGGACGTTGTTTTGTCTTCCCCATGATCCCTGGCTTTCCTCCATACTTCTTAGCGTTTCTGACATCATCAGTTTTCCCCTTGACGTGCACTCATTCTTGAATACCTTCAGATATCTGTGTTTTCCTGTGATCTCTCTGGCACCAATACCGTGCCTAGGCTATCGGCAGCAGATATTTTGTTTGAATGCTCTCCAGCCTGTATGGCTTAAAAATTTGAGTTTCATCTTGTCACCTCCTCTTGATTAGAGTTCAGTTGATCTTTTGATGATTGCCAGATGATGTTACTTCAAATATCTGCCCCACCCGTCGTTCTTTCTCATATCCTGCTTTAGTTTTTTTCCTAGCCCTCTGAGCACTTATCACATCCTAATTCCAGACTGTATATTGCTTACTTGTTCTTTGACTGTCTCCCAGCTAGAACACAAGCTCCCTGAGGGCCGGGATGCTTTTGTTCACAGATGAACCTAGGACAGTATCTGGTCCACAGTGGACGCTCAGATGCTTATTGATGAAAGCATCCTCACGTGGGTTGTCATGGGTTGGTTGCTGCTGTTTCTTAGCCGTCGTAATTGCCCTTCCTACTGTCTGACGTCCGCTGTACACCCATCTGTTGAAACTAGTCATGAGACAAAGTCATTCAGAATTCAGTGATCTTGTCTTGCCAGTCTTTGTTCGCCATCTTCTCTCTGCTGGGCACCTTTGACTGTCTTATCTTTTTGAAATAATTTTTATGAATTGTAAACATAATTTTTATGACTGTGACTTCAACATGTCCAGCTGTCATCTGTTGAGAGGATATCCACCCACACTTGGAACAAGTCCCTTTTGTCTGAAACCCACCGTGTTTCAGTTTAGGTCTTGTCTCCTGAACTGGCTTCTCTTCCCAGCAGTTCCATTTCTGAGGTGGGACAGCCATTCTTCCTGTCTTATTGGTTCATGGATGTACCTTTTCCTCTCCATCTGTCCTGTCACTAAGTCCTGTCATTTCTTCCATCAAAGTGCCATCTTTCCTCTTTCTCAGTCTCTTGCTGCCACCTGGCTAGTTTCCCCTGGATTCACACTGTCCATTGCTGGTTGTCTTGTGCCAAGGCCCTTTGGGCTTGTCTTGAAGGAGCAGAGCAGGGCAGCTGGAATTAGCTCAAATGCTGCTCCAACACTTGGATACTTTCCTCGGGCCTCCATGTTGCCACGTGTTACAGCAGAACCTGTTTTATAGAGCTATTCTGGGGACTAAAGAGATAATGCATGCGAAGCACTTAGAGTTCGATATATCTAAGATCTTTCTAGATGCTGT